AATGCGCGTTTGCTAATCCTCTTGAGTCAAGTTATTATGGCCATGCATTATTATCACGCTTTACAAACTAATTCCATGTTTTCCCTCATGGATTACCAAGGGGAAAAATAGTTGCATAAGAAAAAAAGCAGAAAGGAAATAAGTAACACTGAGACTGCAGCAGGAATAAAACTGAAGTCAAAATGACAGAATGCACAACGTTTAGCATAAGGAATATGTATTAGTGCATTTGTCGCTGTCCATCTGAGTGTTTATCAGAGTTAATTCACCCCTTAGAGACGGTTCTCTGCCAGTCTTCCCATCAGGAGGCATGCTCCATAATCCCATTCTGCCTAATAGCATGATTAACTCTAAAAGATCACTGACGTATTAGGGTTTGATTATGTATTGTTAATTGTGTGGCCAGGCATCATTACATTCTAAGACATTTAATTTGATGAACCCTGCTTATCTTGTATTAATTAGTTGTTTGCGAGCTTGTGAATGAGGGTAAACATTCATTTTGAGAATTAGATTTAAAATTATGTTGTATCAGCTCAGGGAGATGACCCTATCCAGCTGAAATGAAACATTTTTCTATACATATCTTTACATTTAAATCTAGCAACATTGTTATTAAAGATTTTACATTCAAGCTAACACACAAAAGCACAAGCAACAAACAACACATGTAGATTCTTACTAAATTCAAACAGCACAGTTTGATCAAAGAGAAAGAGCAAGGACAAAGAGAAGTTATCCAATAAAATATGATAAATACCATAATGCCTTAAAGTAATAAGAGAAAATCTACTTTAAAAAAAACAAAAAAAAACAACCAGAAATAATCAATTAAACTGTTCATTGTATGAATTGGAAAATAGCAACCGGTGACAACACCCTCAACAAATATCTACACTACATGTATGTCAGAAAGTAATATGTTGAGCTGCATGTCTAACAGCCTGAATCCTTTTCTGGGGGACAAAATTTACTCAGCAGCCAAATACTGCAATCATTACGCAACTCAAGGCAATGATATTGTAGGGAATGCATACACACTCACACACACACATAAAATAAACCCATGCTCATGAATGGCAAATGAAGGCTACATTGAAAAAATAAATCTTTCCTCTCTGCAAACTGACATCAAATATTGCCTTAGATTTCAACAGGGAAATAAAGAGCATGATACTGATATTCAGAACGAGACCTTCAAGGGCTTCAACCTTTTGTGTCCCAACGAAACAGGGGACTCGGTAAAACTGTTAGGAGGCAGGTGTGGGCAGCCTCTGGAATGCAGAAAGAATTTCACTTAATTTCACTTTCACCTTTTGACAGCAACTTCCGAGACTGAAAAACAATATGGAAACATCTTCAAAAAGCCTTTATTTTACTGCCATATATATATGTGTGTGTGTGTGTGTGTGTGTATGTGTGTGTGTGTGTGTGTGTTTTCCTATATATCTACAGTATCTTGTATATGTCTGTAGTTTGGAAGTACAAGATTAAAACTCTAAAGTGGGAACATAAAGTAGTGATTGTGATACCTGCTGGATATTTTTCTCTTACTGAAGAGTGTCAGAACCAGATATTAAAACATATAACTGCTTTGAAATACAGTACATAGAATTTAATAAGCAATCTGTGTAAAAATAATGATACAAACACGTTTCTTAGATCTCTAGCTAGTCATTGGTTAGGAGCTCCTTAAAGTACGATAACCTGGAGCAACAGTAACTCTTTCGATGTATCATAGTATTTAATCCCAAAAATCAACAATCTGTATAAAATGATCTACAGAAAGCAACAGGAATTTTAAGTGATGCTATGTTTTTATATGGCTTATTACAATTACAAGGTTAACTGTGTTAATTCATTGTCTTTTTTTATATATATAAATGAAAGGTCAATACATAGATTTAAGTAAAATATAGAATAAAAACTCAGTTCAGCAGTTGTGTTCTGGTGCTTATTATTATAAAGTATTCTACCATCTAACTCCAAAGAGAGTAAGTAGTGGTCTTCCTTCAATTTGTACCTGACTCCTCATTTAAAAAATATTTCAGGGCAGCTGTATTAGTCATTTAGTCATAGCAGGAAAAGTGAACAAATGCCTTTCAGCCAGCAGCTGTGCAGTGTGCAGCACCATGCATTGGTAGGTCGTTCCAAATGCATGGGTAGGGGAAGCAGTATGTTACTCCATCCTCTAGACAAACTCAAGTCCCTCTGATATTTTTTTCCCACATCTTTATGTTAAGACTTGAAAAATGTAGGAATGGTTAAATGTGAATGGGAAAATGTTTGTCTTTAGTAAAAAATAAAATTCCTAAAGATATCATGTTAACTTGATTCAAGAGTTGTTTGATTCAAGAGTTTAAAAAGATGAACCAAGGGCCAAGGTATTAAAAGTATTTTTTTTATTCAGGAGGTACTATTAGAAAATGGTCTTAAAGTCAAAGGTATCTAAAACGTTCTACATCGGTGTTGTCGCCATGAGGACATCATTGCTCTGTCTTTCCTTGTTGTGTGTTATATAGTGTCAAAGGATATGTCGACACATTGTTCTAGTTTTTAACTCCTCAAAGTCTTAATCTTCTCTGCACTAGGAACAGGTGGGGTGGTCTCTATGGCTCTGCCTAATGCGGTATTGTTCATATATCTTGGTCCTGTGTTTATCACAAGTCCAAGAGGTAGTGACGGCCTAGTGGTTAGGGCATAGACCTTGGAATCCTGAGGTTCTGAGTTTGAGCCCTACTCCCATAGAATGCCATTCTGGGTCTCTGAGCAAGACCCTTAACCCCACACTGCTCCCCGGGCGCCCCACGATGGCAGCCCACTGCTCCCCAAGAGGATGGTTTAAATGCAGAAGTAAACTTCTCCAATGTGAGATCAATAAAGTTAAATTATTATATTATACCACCTATTTGCTGGATAAGGTGGAAGGTCAACAGATACATTGATATCTCATATGCAATAACAGATATATTGCTTCAATGTAGCAACTAACGATTATTTCACTAAGCAATTAATCCGTTGATTAATTTTTGAATTAATCTATTAATAATCAAATAGCAAATGGTTCCTTTAATATTTTTTACAGAATTGAACCAGATGAAACACTTGAGGAGTTGAGAGAATATCTTAAATGCAAAATGTTTATATATATTTTTATTACAATTTTGGAACAATCATAGCTCTAACTGTGTTGCTCTGTCAACTAAAGGCATGTTTTAGAGTCTCTATACTCCGGTTAACAAAGTCTATTATTAAATTAGTTGACTATTATTTCAATAATCGATTAATCTAATTTATTGTTTCAGCTCTACTTCAATGCCTCCCTTTATGCACCCTTCTATGTTTTGACTCTATGTGGTGACAAATAATAAAAATCTGAAGAAATGGATCCTGCATACTGAAGTGAGGTTCCCTGTAGAGTGGTTGAGCATAGTTTCATACTTTCAAACTTTTTAGTGCATACCCCACTGAGAGGACAGCAAAGGTCAGACCCAAGGCCCACTGGAGGGAATATATATCTTTACAGGCCGGAGAATAACTTGGGAGTGGGCCAATGTAATGAACTGACAAGTGTCTTTTGGGGGCCTCCCTTCTCAAGTCGTCAATTATTTGTTGTCAGTGTATTAAACATAACAGGCACTATTATTTTACATCCAGGCCTGGGGTCCTGTTGCATGGATTTTGTATATGCACTTTTTAATATCAGCGCTTTCTGCAGGTACAGGTACTCCCTTTTTTTGCCAGTTAGTATATGTGATTTTATCTAATTAACTTGGGGAAGTTCAAACTACTTCTTGGATGTCTTAAGTCTTCTAGACACCTGACTGAAATAAACAGGTGATTAACAGACTTCTACAGCTCTTGACGGTTGCTGAGCCAGTAATGCAATGGTTTGATTCAAGTGTACTGGAGCAGGACACATCTAAAACATGAAGGACAGTGGGTCCAGGTCTGATAACCACTGCTCTAGATTACCTCTGGGAGTTAGTGTGAGCATGCATGCATGGTGTGTGTGTCTCTGAGCAGTTTGAAGATGAAGTGGCCACCTGTCCAGATCGGTACCCCATCACCAGCAACCCTGCAGGATGGATGGATGGATGGATGGATGGATGGATGGATGGATGGATGGATGGATGGATGGATGGATGGATGGATGGATGGATGGATGGACGAAGGCCGGGGTCATGATTTTATGAATAATCTATGTGTCGAAATTGGTTCTAAGTATTGTTATACTCAGTGTGATGAGTCAACTGGTTAATCTAAAAAGGGGGGGGGGGTAACATTTTGATGTCTAACACGTAGAGGGGAGGGACAATTTTGCTCTGAACAGATTAGTGCACATTAATAGCTTCATGACCACTCTTCCTTAGAAGAGTGGAAGTTACCACTGCCCTACAGCGCTGGCCCCATACTTCCTATTTCAGCAGAAGCAGCGCACCAGGTATCACCGGTATCTCCGTGGCGGCGTCCGTCATCCTGTGACAGCTGCTGGGGGCCCTTCGGAGACACTGTAGAATTACACAGATTTACGCGGTGACGGCTCTGCGCGCGGCCCCAGCTTCCATCTCCCACGCAAAGAGATGTTAAAGAAAGCATGTGGATGAATAAATGATGCCACCCCTCCAAAGGAAAAAAAAAAGATGGGACTGGCAGGGAAAAGCTCTTTAAAAATGCATCCTTTCCGTGCGCCTCTGCCCCACTTTAGGAGCGCGTTAAGGAAACACTCTTCGATTACAATGACAGAAAAAAAACATATAGAAAATAAACAGTAAATGTTTGATTTTGGATGAGATGTGCTTATAATAACAGAGGATGTATTCTGTCATTTGGAAAAATAAAATATATATATAAAAAAAAGATATCAAGACAAATGTGTAAATATTGGAAAAATGCGCGTTTGGAGTCAGATTTAACGTTTAATGAAAAACTATTAGGATGCGAATGAATCAGTTAAAGATTAAATATAAAATAGGTCTTCGCAAGCATCACCACGTTACCTTTGTGCATGCCGGTGTATCGGTCCTTGAGAACTGTCAGTTCGTGGATTTTCCCAAACTGTTCAAACAGAGGTTTCAGGTCTTTTTCCTCCAAGTTCCTCGGTATCTGCCCGATAAACAGCTTAATGGCATCTTGGTCTTTCATGTTGCCGTTCTCCGGATGAATTGAAATGGGTTCTGACCCGTTCATGGGTTTGGGGAATGTGATCTGAGAGTACTGGTGCTGATGTGGGAGAAGTAGGAATGGTTGGTGGGTCGGTGGGTCCCCCGGTCCGGTGAAAACCAGGCTGGAGTGAGCGGGCTGGGACTGCTGTGGATGGTGCTGCCTTCTTGTTTCAGTCTGAGTGAATCTGGCCATTCTGAGCTGGGAGCAGAGTGGATAATAATGACAACACACACACACACACACACGCTGTGAGAGAGCAAGCACTCAGCTGGAAACCAGGCTGACTTTCTATCCAACACACAACGCTCCCGCACACACAGTAAGAGCAGAAGGGGGTAATATTGGAGGGAATAAGCGCACTGAGGCGATATTACACGCTCTAGAGCGACACCCAGTGGTGAAATGGAAGAAGACAACTGTGATAGATGATAGATAGATAGATAGATAGATAGATAGATAGATAGATAGATAGATAGATAGATAGATAGATAGATAGATAGATAGATAGATAGATAGATAGATAGATAGATAGATAGATAGATAGATAGATAGATAGATAGATAGATAGATAGATAGATAGATAGATAGATATTTGAAGGTTGAAACGTATGCATTGTATAAAATGTACAAAGCTCAGGAGGGCTAGAGATTGAAACCAGCACTTCTTGCTCACCAACCTGCAGCCCAATATTAACAAAAACCATGTCAAAGAAACGTGATCATTTATGACATGTAGACATTCATTACAGTAAATATCCTCTAAATTAAAATTTAAAGTAAGTTCTTTGACATCTGCTTTATTCAAAGGTTTCAAGTAACAGAGTACAATTACTTTATTACAGTACTTAAGTACACTTTTTTAGGTATCTATACTTTACTCCGTTACTTTTTTTTCTTCCTACTTCTGACTTCTACTCATTACATTTTCACACAAGTATCTGACGTTACTTGTTACTCTTGGCTTCGGTTTAATGTTTATAATTATTTATTACACGTCATGTGCGCCATCCAATCCAGATCGCTGGTGTTCTTCAAACTGCAAACATGAATTGTCTATGCCATGCTATAATGTTGGATTCAGAAAAAGATGTTGAAATGTCTGAAAGGTCGGACACAGGCGAGAGCATATCGGGAGATGGAGGCCAACATGACCTCCCTCATCCATGGTCCTATCTCAAAGCATTTTATGAAATAGTCGAAAAATGTAGCTTTTAATTCACATAGTGGCACCTAGCTGTTTTTTTAAAGGTTACTTTATACTTTTAAGTACTTTTTGGAGCACATACTTTTTCACTTTTACTTAAGAGGTCAAGTTGATACTTCAACTTTGACCAGAGTGTTTTTAAACTGCAGTAACAAATGTGTGTAATTTTGACACCACAGGCTTTCTTTGACTTAATATGTTTGTTTATTTTCGATTTTATATTTAGAAAGACTCCAGTAAGAGCTTATTATGCAAATCATAGACATGTGAGATTTTACTTTACTGCATGTCCTAATCTGGGTTAGTTCATCACCTCTCTATCACCTCTTCAACAATTCACCAACACTTTAACACAGTAAGGAAGTCTGACTCACCTGTTCTGTGTTTCAACAGTCTATCCTTCAAATTAATTTAGAATGCTTATGGTTGCTATATAATTATTCTAGGCTGTTTTTTTGCCATTTTATGTTTATATTTATATTTTATATTTAAAATGAAATATTATGTAGTTATTGTTGGGTTGAGGTTTTAAGGACCCAAATGCAGAGGTGAGGAGGCAGAGGTGATTCTTGTAGATTTAATTAAATATCTGAGGCAAAAATCCAAAAACCAAAGTACAAAATACAAGGAACCAAACACCAGACTACTTCAGGGGAAAACTCACATGGGGAGCCAGGAAAACACAAGGAACCAGCACTGAGAAACTGCACTGGGAGAGTACAGGTGCTGGTCATAAAATTAGAATATCATGAAAAAGTAGATTGATTTCAGTAATTCCATTTAAAAAGTGAAACTTGTATATTATATTCATACATTACATACAAACTCATATATTTCAGATGTTTATTTTGTTTAATTTTGATGATTACAAATGACAACAAATGAAAATCTCAAATTCATCATATCAGAAAATTAGAATATTACTGAAGACCAATAAAAACAAAGGATTTATAGAAATGTTGGCCAACTGAAAAGTATGAACATGAAAAGTATGAGCATGTACAGCACTCAGTATTTAGTTGGGCCTCCTTTGGCCTGTATTACTGCAGCAATGCGGCGTGGCATGGAGTCGATCAGTCTGTGGCACTGCTCAGGTGTTATGATAGCCCAGGTTGCTCTAATAGTGGCTTTTAGCTCTTCTGAATTGTTGGGTCTGGTGTATTGCATCTTCTTCTTCACAATACCCCATAGATTTTCTATGGGGTTAAGGTCAGGAGAGTTTGCTGGCCAATTAAGAACAGGGATACCATGGTCCTTCAACCAGGTACTGGTAGCTTTGGCACTGTGTGCAGGTGCCAAGTCCTGTTGGAAAATGAAATCTGCATCTCCAAAAAGTTGGTCAGCTGCAGGAAGCATGAAGTGCTCTAAAACTTACTGGTAAGTGGCTGCGTTGACCCTGGACCTCAGAAAACACAATGGACCAACACCAGCAGATGACATGGCACCCCAAACCATCACTGACTGTGGAAACTTTACACTGGACTTCAAGCAACGTGGATGAAGTGCCTCTCTTCTTTTCCTCCAGACTCTGGGACCTTGATTTCCAAAGGAAATGCAAAGTTTACTTTCATCAGAGAACATGACTTTGGACCACTCACCAGCAGTCCAGTCCTGTTTCTCTTTAGCCCAGGCAAGACGCTTCTGACGCTGTCTGTGGTTCAAGAGTGGCTTGACACAAGGAATGCGACAGCAGAAACCCATGTCTTTCATACGTCTGTGTGTGGTGGTTCTTGAAGCACTCACTCCAGCTGCAGTCCACTCTTTGTGAATCTCCCCCACATTTTTGAATGGGTTTTGTTTCACAATCCTCTCCAGGGTGCGGTTATCTCTCTTGCTTGTACACTTTTTTCGACCACATCTTTTCCTTCCCTTCGCCTCTCTATTAATGTGCTTGGACACTGAGCTCTGTGAACAGCCAGCCTCTTTAGCGATGACCTTTTGTGTCTTGCCCTCCTTGTGCAAGGTGTCGATGGTCGTCTTTTGGACAACTGTCAAGTCAGCAGTCTTCCCCATGATTGTGTAGCCTATAGAACTAGACTGAAAGACCATTTAAAGGCTTTTGCAGGTGGTTTGAGTTAATTAGCTGATTAGAGTGTGGCACCAGGGGCCATCAATTTTGAACCTTTTCACAATATTCTAATTTTCTGATATGATGAATTTGAGATTTTCATTTGTTGTCATTTGTAATCATCAAAATTAAACAAAATAAACATCTGAAATATATGAGTTTGTATGTAATGTATGAATATAATATACAAGTTTCACTTTTTAAATGGAATTACTGAAATCAATCTACTTTTTCATGATATTCTAATTTTATGACCAGCACCTGTATATATAAGAGACATAACAAAGACAGGACTAATGAGCTGATTGGGAGCAGGTGGCAGCAGCTGTGAACAGAGGAGTCTAGAATTGTGAGGGGTTTTGGTCTCAAATTTTCGTGTGCTTCAAGTGCTGCTGTTGCTGTCTCCAATTGTTCCATGTCTGAAAGTCACAGAGCACAGAAAATAAATGTATTTAAAAGAAGCACTTAGGACAACCCATATGAGAAGCTTATGAAAGCTGACAATAAAGGACCAATATTTAAAAGAAACATTGTCTTTAAAGATCTGCTCTCAGCATTCGTTAAACAATGCTTTAGTATGTTATGGTTGGTGACTGATGCTTTTCTGGATCTCTGAGAACTGCTAAAAGTTTCTTGTTTTTCTAACATCACAGTTTCTCATAATTGTAATCATTTTCAACAAACACATTATTTCAGTTGTACACAATTCCTGTAGGAGTTTTCAAAGTTTGAAGTTATTACCAGTTTAACTGCTACACACTAAAAATACAGATAAAAACAATGATTATACTAATATAACATAATCTTTTAATAATCTTTCTACAGTATCTAATTAACTAAAGATCTACTAGAGTACTAATATTAGTGCAGTTCTCAGTATAAAGTCTTTTGGCTGCAACAATACATTCACCTAAGTATTTGTTTGTTTATCTGTTTACCTAACTTACAAGATCTTGCATTCTTACTTATGTTGTTAACTATTTTTCTCTTTCTTATTGAATTTTTCTCTCTTTTAAGCAAAAGATGTTTGAAACATTTCTGTCAGTCAACAGACAGTCAAGGGACAAACAAACATTATCCACAATTAAGAGACCTACTGTAAATATTTTCCGAATAGCCTGCTGGCTAATCCCCCAAGAGAGCATTTATTTGCTTCATTTGCTTTCTCTTTGCAGGCACCGTTGATAGTATTAAGATTAAAATCCTTCATGAAAAACAAAATAGCTCCAGTAAAAGTTGATGCAGTCCAGTGCATGGGGCACCCTTCCAGCTCAGCCCCAAACTACTCTTTAAATAAAACATATCTGCTGGACAGATTTCTAATTACAGCCTATTTAGCAGTGGATTAAATGAAGTGATATACTGTCTGTTACAGCAGGATCAAGGCTGCAAGGAGAATCAATACTGCTGGCTCCTGCTTCTTCTCTTACTGTGGAGGAATGGCACCACAGGGGTGCCCTGTCCTAACTTTACCTTCCCAATATCTGCATGGCTGTGTGAGAGATTTTGCCTTCAGCTTCCTCAGACGCTCCAAAACCAGCAGTGTAGCTTGATAGAAAGGAAGAGCATACTTCTAAATAACCTGGGGTGTAGCAGAAACACATTTACAAGTTTGTTGTTGACAGATTTGGAAGAAAAGACTTGCTAATATTAGGAGTTGGCTATTTTGTTGAGGAAGAAACCACAGATTTTTTCAGTCTATTGAACTTTGTTCATAATATTTATTCTTGCAAGCTCAATAATTGAAGCTGTTGGAGCAAAGCAGGGGTACACATTGACATGAGAGTCAATGAAACAGTAGGTGGCAGCTTTTGGAGGCACAAAGTGTTTTTATTGTATACTTGTTCTTTTGAAATGGGAACATAATTCTTTGAGGTAACAGCAGCAGACCCAAAACATCCTCTAAGTTACAGTTGTTGAGAGTGCAGTTTGTTTTCAAAGTGTTATTCTATGCCCCATTCATTCTGTATTGATTAAAAGAGGCTCAGCTTTTGCAGAATTTGGCGCGCCACCTCTATGGGAACTGGAGTCGA